CCACATAATTGAGTTAAAGCCCCACCTTAGGTATTGTTTTCTCCATATTGAGAAGATATCTTCCTTTCCTATCCCTTTGATTTAAAACCTAGATAGCCTTGTCAGCCTTGACTCCATCATATGATAGTATAGTGTAATTCTCGGCTGTCAGTCTAGAACTAAGATCACACCTATGATTTATGAGATCCCCTTTAATAAGATAACCAATGATTAATAACAAGAATTCTCATGTTGCAAATGACTAAATATACTAGGGCACAAATAAACTCAAAATGATAGAACCATAATATCTTGATCTGCAACATCGTATATACGTGATAGGTTAGTTTTCACTTTCCTACACCCATTCTTCTTCTTTTTTTTTTCCTAGATGGGTGTTATCACATTACATCATAAGTCTAGCCTTAGACATCTCTTTATAATCAATGTAGAGTTATAAGTCCCTCTTATCTACCTTTCTTAATTACTAGGATGTTTATCCCTTCATCATCCATAAAGCCTTACAAAATACATTTTGACTTTAATTTGAATGGAACTACATCGATCTTGGTTAGTTTGAATACAATCATTAACTCGTTAATCTAGAGTATTCTAAAATACAAAAGGAATGTAAATAATCTTAGAAGCTTGCTCCTTTGCAAAACCCCGACCCCTACAATTAAAATAGATCCAATAGGAAGCCACATCCTCGCATGGGAAATCTTTGTGATAGATAAACTCAATTTATCTTTCACTGACACACTCGAGCCTAAGATTGCATAATTAGCCACGAATAATCCTTTACTACAACATTTCGAGCACCTTTTGAAGCCTACACTTGATTATGTTGTTATCTGCAGGATAGTATTTATCAGTGCATTTCATATCATCACTAAAAGATAAAATCAAGTTTCCAAATATTCTTCTTGAATTATAAAAAACTCTTAGTCAAAATTCTATTTCTTGCTTTTTGTCTTCAATTCTTTAAAATTTTTTATTTGCTAGATTATGAACACTATCCTACAATACATACTAGCTATAAAGTAGTATGTAACTACAATAGTATTAGGATGGGAAATCTTTTTAAGATAGATAAATTTGAGATATTTGTTTTGGAGGTGGAATGTAAGTGGTTTAATTTTTTGGAATTTCGGAACTATTCTTTGCAAATTTAGAATTTGTAAAAGGTTCACAGTTAGAGGTCGTCAAATATTTTGATTTTGGTTAAATTTGGGGAATTAACAATCTTGTCTATCAAATTTAAGCTTCATTAGAAATTCAAGATTAAAATAACATTGAATAGATTTTAAATGCTACCATCTTCATTCTACATTTAGAGGAGTGGATTCTCACTTCATTAAAATCAAATTTGTCATCTCCACTCCACCTTTTATCCTTAGATATAAGCTATTATAAATAAGAAGATTTGCTATGATCTATTAGTTTATCTTCCTTCATTTTCTTAGTTCTATTTTTTTAAATAATAAATATTAATCTTTTTCAAATCAATAATATAATATTTACTCTATCATCTTTTTATCTATTTCATTTTCAATCTAATAATTTTTGTATAGAAAATCAATTAATGAAATGCTAAATCTTACTATTATCATATATCCATTAAACTCCTTCAAAGTTATTATTATTTGATGTCATTTGTTCATTATGAGACATACAACAATAATAAATTTAATCAAATATAAATTAGTTCCTTTAGACAACTATAATATTCAAAGGGAGATGATAGGTGCAAAAGAGTTGGACTAGGAGAATCACGACTATGATTCTCAATAAATATGTGCTAAAGAAATTCAAATATTTATAATATTAAAAAAATTATTTAATTAAATTTGAAATTATAAGAGAATGAAATTTTTAGTGATGCAATGTTGCTTCCTAAAATAATTTATGAAAGGAGTTTTGGAGAATATAATCAACGGCTCATTCTTTATAAGTTCATGGATCGTTTTGTGGGCCTAGCAAACCAAGCCCAGCCCATTCTGATAGGCCCGTTGAAAATGCAGATTGAATGATGTTCAATGTAAAGCTGATGTTATTGATAGTTGAAGGTATTGCTATTGCTTGTTGTTATAAATCATACATAACATTATAGATCATTTGCAAATTTATTATTTATATTAAGAATTTCAGATATGAATTATTAGTTGATTTTAAGAGTGAAGTGGCCTAATAAGATATGATTTTTCCCTTTTCAATTTGATTTTTGATTGATAGTTAGAATTTGTTTAAATATGTGAAGCGGGATTATATATTATTGAATTGTCAATTTTACATAATCTATTAATTGTCGATCGGTGATCACCGGGGTCTAATAGGGAATTTTTTTGAACTGGTCAATTCAACATGATCGAGATTAGATTATCATGCAGTTCAAGTGGGTTCCTGCCGGTTTTATGTAAAGCAAATTTTTTTAACTCACCGTGCTAGCAAATTGATCAGTTCAGAATCGAATCGATCAAATTAGTTTGTCTATTTCAGTATACTAAAATTTTGAAAAAAAAATATGACACCTAGGTCAGTTGAGTTAATGCATTATATACTTGAATCTTTAAAAATATGCACTTATCCATATCCACAATTAGAAAAGATGTAATTATGAAATTGGAAGATCTTGCTTGGTCGACTATAATTGTTGTGGAGATTATGGGAGAAATAGTACTGAGATGGACTAGATGGTGGTGACAATTAAACAATATCAATCAGACAACAGTTGCCGGAAAACGACGATCAATTGATGGTTTGAGCAATAACATTAGTCAAATGATATGAAATGGACTATAATATTCATGGGGCGATGGTTGGATGCTAACGATTGAGCAGCAATGTTTAGGTGATGGCAATCAATCGAAGGCAATGGTTGACAATAACTGTCAACATTAAACATATGGTAAACCTTCAAAGTCATTCATAATTCAATGATCTCTCTCCAATCTCAAATTTAGGCCTCTTTAATGTGAAAAATATGAGTCTTTTTATAGTAATTTTGGAGTGGCATTTTAGTTAACTAAGACAAAATTTTATAACATTCCATGAGACAACTCATACTGAACCTTTGATCATATATCAAATTATTCAATATTTTAGTGCATGTAAGACATCAAAATTAAATGATTTTGTTATTGTTGAATTCTTTTCATCGAGTCATTTGATTTGGCTATAAGCATATAAAATTAATTACAAACAAAATAGACAAAAGCAATTTTCTTAGAAATTTTATTGCTTGTCGCTCGGGGTCAATGTTGGGAAAATAGTAAAAAAAGTATGAATTAATTTTTTTAATTCTTATGTATTTTGTATTTTATTTGTTTTAATGAACTATAATGACAGGAATTCATTTTTATCTTATGTGATTGAGACCTTGTAATTTATGATTGTTTTGTTAATGAATTAATTTTGCTAATTGTAATGCTATGTTTGTTTTATTTATTTTATTAATAATTATAATGACAGGAACTCATTTTTATATGGTGTAATTGAGGCAAATTATGTCCTTCAAATTAAAAAATAATAATAATTAATGTGATAGAGTATCTAAAATATTCTAATATGAATATTAAAAAAGAAATATAAATTTTGCCTTCTTTACAGATTTGTAATATCTTTTTCATTTATATACGGGCTTTACCCAAATTTTTTCAAAAAAAAAAAAATGTTTATATGAACCGACATCTATGCTAGGGCTATAAACATACCGAGACGAGCATCTGCTTGTTCATATTTGTGTCCATTTATTATCAGCTTGTACATGTTCGTTCGAGTTTGATTCTATATTTCATGTTCAGGTTCAACCTTGATTCATTTAAGTTGATAGATATTCATGTTTGATTTGTATTTGATTTATTTTATTCTTATCGAGTTTTAAGAAAATGAAACCTTTAAATTAAACGATCATGAACTAGCTTTTATTGAGTTGAGCCTCGAGCATATATCTTAATTATCTTTCAGAAGTAATAGAAAAGTCGTCACAAACGAAGCCTTACAAAATTCACTATCATGATTTATGCAACTATGATAACTCATAACTCAGATTATGATGAAGCCTATATAATATAAATAATCGCAATAAAATTTTTGTGCTTGTTTCCCTTAGTTCTCAAAACCATTGTGATTTGTTATATGAATGGAGCATCCTGTCGCCATATGTGAAATATAATAATCTTAATTACTTTCACAAGGAAATATTAGCTGTATTACCCAATTTAATTCTCCATAAAATCATAAAGAATTGATCATTACTATTGCATCCTGAAATATTCACAGAGGTAGAAAAATATAAAACTTAACGTCTTAACTTTGTAAGAAAATCTGGCATGCAATCAGATAAGAGAGAGGATGTTGCATTCATATGAGACATTAGGATTTTTACGTGAAAAACACTAAAAAGGAGAAAAATCACGGGGCCTAGCCCAGTATGAATGAATCTACTAATATTTGCAGTTTATTATAATTGAGACCCTTCCTTGGGGGGGGAAGGCCTTGGCTTACTACCAAAAAATAAGGTAATTGCAGCATATATTTTGAGCTATCGCGTCAGTTTTAACCGCCACAATTTTCTTTGCAGCGGTTTCTAAACCGCTACCAATACGTTGTAATTATTATGCGCTGCAACGACATTCCATAGCGGTTTTACGACCGGCGGGGTAGCAATTTAAACTCGCTTATTTTTGCAGCGGTTTTAACCGGTACAAATAAACAGATTTGTGCCGGTTTAAACCGATGCAAATTCATCCAATATGAACATGTTTTAATAATTGTGGCGGTTTTAACCGGCACAAATATGTTTATTTGTACCGGTTAAAAGCGCCACAATAGGACAAATTTTTTTTAAAAAAAAATTGAAATCTGATTGTCTACACACTACAGCACAAAATTTATTTGCATAAAAATCAATCAAAAAAATTCTCCCAGTTTCATTCATTTTTTCCTTTCCCTCTTCCAGCAATAGGTTGCTACCTTATTTCGTCCAGTGAAGAAAAAACACAAAAACAGAGAGCGGAATCTATCTACAGCAAGAAAATTAAATTAAGAAGAGGGTCGATGGATCATAAACTTACATGAAAATTCAGATGGAAGAAGAACTTAAGTGAACAAACAAAAAACAGTGCTTAATGCTAGTCAATGATCAAAATAATGCATAAAGTTAACACAACTTAAAATCTCCTAATTAGCATACCTTCAAGTTTCTAACTTGATGTGGGCATCCTGCTGGGATGAATACAGCTTCTCCAAGTTTCTGCACAAACGACCATGACTCAATTCCTATTAAAAAAATCACCAGAATGAGCTTAGGGCTATGCAAACAAGACAACAAAGACAATAAGCACTTCAATACTATCCAGAGTAGAACTAAGCTAGCTAAGATAAACCAACCATATTCCTCCTTAAGTTTCCTTTTGTGATCCATTGACAAATAGAAAGATTGATCATGTATGGGATGAAATATCTGTTACAAGACCATTTCTATCATGAGTTGAAATAATTCTGGCTCAAACACCCTAATAAAAAAAGGTTTTTAGAATCCCATGATACCTTCGTCACTGGAGAATTATATATATGTCTGGCTCAAACACCCTAATAAAAAAAGGTTTTTAGAATCCCATTATTCCAAGACTTAAACAGGTGGACTCACAAGCCTTGCCTTCAGAAAGGACATCTGAATTAATGCAATGAAGCATCAACATAGGTTTATTATCTATCACATGAATCTCACTATCAATTTTCTCATTATCAGAGCAAGATTTAACCCCTCTACTGAGTGCCTGCTGGTCCTTGCAATTAGAAAAAGTATTTTCCACATCTTGCTTGCCTTCATTATGTAGTTTGATAGCAGCCTCCTGTTTCTTCTGTTTTAATATTTCAATTTTAGGAAGCTGGTCCTTAGTAAGTCAAGCAAAAAGATTCGTGCACAATAGTTTTAGACCTCCTGTAGCACTCAACAAGAATAAATAGAGGATTTATAAAGCCAACCCAAATATCCAACAAAGAACTATTGATGATGATCATGCTGATGATGAATTACTTTTTCCTTCACACATTTCCAATTTATAGAAGTAAAGAAATTTCCAAACTTTTTTCAAAAACAAAGTTATCACTAAAGGAATCTTCCAGCAGTAAGAAAGCCATCCCAAACAAAGCCTTAATAGTATCAACGAGCAGCAGTCATCTTCAAGAACAGAAAAGTACTCACCTTCTTGTCTATGTTTGTACAATATACAGTTCTCACAACCATTTCCCTTTCATCGTTGGACAGTGATAATTTCAGCAATAAGTAGCCAATATTAAAAATGCATGTATAGGAAATGAAAAAAAGAACTTAGTTCAGTTTTGCTAAGCACCGAAATAAATGGAAGCAAGTTAAAAATGCACACTCGAGGAAGAAATTTGGGATTCACCGGCAAAATTGCAGTTTTTGAAGGTAAAACTTTGACAGGATAGTAACCTAGCATGGTTCCACCAATACTCAAAGCTGCTCTAGCACCCTCTGCCAGCATAATGGTGTTAAAAATTTTTAAGAAAATTGTACAATGAGCTATTAAATGCAAAATAGCCGAGAAAGAATTGTTAGATGAATTTACCCTCATCGGCAAACTCTACGAATGCAAAACAGAGAATCGAGTGGGGGTCACCACAGATCCAACAGTCAACTACCTTCAGAATTAGAATTCCAGAACAATAAGTGCATTAAAGCCTTAATAGTATCAACGAGCAGCAATCATCTTCAAGAACAGAAAAGTACTCGCCGCTTGAGTCGCACCGCAGGAAGGAGAAGAGGGCTCCGGAGACGATTCGCAAAATCACCGCTTGAGTCGCACGCAGGAAGGAGAAGAGGCGGGCTCAAGAGACGATTCGCAAAATTTAGTTCGCGCGCTCGGAATTAGGGCTTCAGCGGGGTTAAATTAATGAGTTATTTGCATCGGTTAAAACCGGTGCAATTAGCACCGATTTTACTGATTTTAACCGATGCTAAAACACTATTGACCTCATTTTTGTATGAGGTCACCTGGACCAGTCCTGACCCCAGATCAATTTAATCTCTAGACCAATCCAAACTCTAGGATCCTCCTAGAATCCTGACCTTAGGATTTATTCTAGATCCTAGAATCAATCTAGACCTTATGATTCTCCCAAATCAATCAAAACCCTAGGATCCACTCCAGACCCTAGGATTCTTCCAGATTAACCTAAACTCTATGATTCTCCTAGATCCAGACCTTAGGATCTATTCTAGGTCCTAGGATCCTTCTAGACTCCAGGCTCTAATTCAAATCTCAAGTCAATTCAAATTTTCAAATCAAATCCAGACTTATAAACTTATCCAGACTTTAAACCTATCCAGATCTCAATATCAAGTTCAAACCTAGATCCTACCTTTGATCTAGCCTGACCATATCCTATCACTTATGAGCATCTAAATGATCATAAATGATATGGATAATTCAAATTCAATCAATCAAGCTCAAAATCCAGACCAAATCCAAAAATCCAGACTAAAAACCTAAGTCCAAGGGCCTTGTCCTAAAGGCCTTTTCCAGGGATTTTTCAAACACTTCAAAACCCTATCAAATGACCTCTGATTCAGGGTCTGTCAGTTGCAAACTGATGAGACATGTCTCTAGAGGCTACCCTCCAAATTTGAAAACGTTTTGAAGTCTCTAACCCCATAAACTAATTTAAAATGTAAAGGCTGTAGAACCTTCATATAATTGTTGTGGAGATTATGGGAGAAATAGTACTGAGATGGACTAGATGGTGGTGACAATTAAACGATATCAATCAGACAACAGTTGCCGGAAAACTACGATCAATTGATGGTTTGAGCAATAACATTAGTCAAATGATATGAAATGGACTATAATATTCATGGGGCGATGGTTGGATGCTAACGATTGAGCAGCAATGTTTAGGTGATGGCAATCAATCGAAGGCAATGGTTGACAATAACTGTCAACATTAAACATATGGTAAACCTTCAAAGTCATTCATAATTCAATGATCTCTCTCCAATCTCAAATTTAGGCCTCTTTAATGTGAAAAATATGAGTCTATTTATAGTAATTTTGGAGTGACATTTCAGTTAACTAAGACAAAATTTTATAACATTCCACGAGACAACTCATATTGAACCTTTGATCATATATCAAATTATTCAATATCTTAGTGCATGTAAGACATCAAAATTAAATGATTTTGTTATTGTTGAATTCTTTTCATCGAGTCATTTGATTTGGCTATAAGCATATATATAAAATTAATTACAAACAAAATAGACAAAAGCAATTTTCTTAGAAATTTTATTGCTTGTCGCTCGGGGTCAATGTTGGGAAAATAGTAAAAAAAGTATGAATTAATTTTGTTAATTGTTATGTACTTTGTATTTTATTTGTTTTAATGAACTATAATGACAGGAATTCATTTTTATCTTATGTGATTGAGACCTTGTAATTTATGATTGTTTTGTTAATGAATTAATTTTGCTAATTGTAATGCTATGTTTGTTTTATTTATTTTATTAATAATTATAATGACAGGAACTCATTTTTATATGGTGTAATTGAGGCAAATTATGTCCTTCAAATTAAAAAATAATAATAATTAATGTGATAGAGTATCTAAAATATTCTAATATGAATATTAAAAAAGAAATATATCAAAAAGGTCCATGAACAAAATATGTATAATTTGAAAAAAAAAAACATAATTAAATGGTCTAAAATAAGCTCAAAGAGCAAGGAATATAATGCATGATTCCTACTTCCAAAAAAAAGGACAATACTTAATGTTTATATGAACCGACATCTATGCTAGGGCTATAAACGCACCGAGATGAGTCGAGCATCTGCTTGTTCATATTTGTGTTCATTTATTATCAGCTTGTTCATGCTCGTTCGAGTTTGATTCTATATTTCATGTTCGAGTTGAAGCTTGATTCATTTAAGTTGATAGATGTTCATGTTTGATTTGTATTTGGTTTATATTTTGTTTGTTTTATGCTTGAGCCGAGCATCTGCTTGTTCATATTTGTGTTCATTTATTATCAGCTTGTTCATGCTCGTTCGAGTTTGATTCTATATTTCATGTTCGAGTTGAAGCTTGATTCATTTAAGTTGATAGATGTTCATGTTTGATTTGTATTTGGTTTATATTTTGTTTGTTTTATGCTTATCGAGTTTTAAGAAAATAAACATTATCAAGCTATAACTGAGTTTTACTTTTAAATTAAACGATCATGAACTAGCTTTTATTGAGTTGAGCCTCGAGCGTATATCTTACTTATCTTTAAGAAGCAATAGAAAAATCGTCCCAAATGAAGCCTTACAAAATTCACTATCATGATTTATTCAACTATGATAACTCATATTATGATGATTATCATAATCTTGAAGCCTATATAATTAATATAAATAATCGCAGTAAAAATTTAGTGCTTGTTTCCCTTAGTTCTCAAAACCATTGTGATTTGTTATATGAATGGAGCATCCTGTTGTCATATGTGAAATATAATAGTCTTAATTACTTTCTCAAGGAAATATTAGATGTATTGCCCAATTTAATTCTCCATAAAATCATAAAGAATTGATCATTTCTATTGCGTCCTGGAGTATTCGCAAAGATAGATAAATATAAAATTTAACGTCTTTACTTTGTACGAAAATCCGACACGCAATCAGATAAGAGAGAGGGTGTTGCATTCATATGAGACATTATGATTTTTATGTGAAAAATCCATAAAAAGGGGAAAAAACCATGGGGCCTAGCCCAATATGAATGAATCCACTATTATTTGCAGTTGATTATAAATGAGACCCTTCCTTGGGGGAAGGTCTTGGCTTGATGTACATCATATGGAGTACATTAAGTGGTGGGAATACAGAGAGTCACTGTTGACGTGTTCGTTTGTTCAGAATGACCATAGTCTGGTGACGGAGGTCAAAAGGATTGTACTCGGTGGTCGACATAAGTCGTAAGAACTGTAGTCGACGAGCGACAGAGGTCATAATGACCTTTATCTGATGACGGAGGTCAGAAGGAAGGAGTCAGATAGAAATATGGTGACAAGCGAAGGTCCGATGTTTGGTAGAAGTCCGACGTCAATCAGCGGTATGGGAGAACGTTAACTCCAATGTTAGATGGAATTCGGGCAAAACTCCAGAGTCACTTGGAGATAGAATTCCGACGTCACTTGGAGATCTGGATGAGTTTCGGCATTTCTTGAAAGTTGGGCAGAATTCTGGTGTCACTTGAAAGTCGGGCGGAACTCCAACGGTCGTCGAGGAGTTTCTTCTCTTCTCTTCTTCTTTTTCTTTTATTGCTTGGGTCCCCTCTTAAGAGAAGTGATGGGCTATTTATAGTTTTTTTAGGATGGCATGACCCGTAAATATTAGGAGGATCGAGGGCAAATGTTGAGTGGTTCGAATGGACGGCTGATATTAAATCCCTTGATTGCGGACTGTTTGTCAGACATTTTAAAGTCTTAATGATATCGGAATTTTGCAATCTTGGGCTCGTTGGATTTGTCTTGTCGAGCCGCTTGATTCGATTATAAGCATGTCATATTTGGAAACTGTTTAGTAATCCAAATTTTGTATTAAACCTTTCGAATGTGCTTCGGGTCTTCGATTTGGACCCATTTAGGCTCGAATCGAGTTGAATTTGGTGTATTTGGGTTTATATTTACAAGACGCTCAGCTCGGCTATAAGTTTACTGAAATCGGAGTTCAGATGATCCCAAATTTAATTTTTGAAGCTTCCAACTTGATTTTTTTTCCTCGGGATTCGTGCCCGATCAAGCTAATTTTTTATGACATATCAATTACAAAATGAAATTTTCTTAAGCATACATTTCACACAAATAAAAAAAATTTCAACGTCGATAACAAGAAAATTGTACCAAAAAAAAAAACGTTTTGCGCGCACTAAGGTCATCTCCAACCGAACGCCAAACGAGCGTATGGCGTCGTTCGGTCTCTCCAACCGAACGCCAAATTTTTCGCCATCTACTTGCAAGTGAACAGTGCGACGCCAATATTGGCTTCACACTGCTCACCCACGCCATTTTCGGCTCTCAACCGGAAAAACACGCGAAAGGAGAACGATCGTTACCTTCCCAGAAACACCTAAAATGACGTTCGATTGGAGCAGCCGCACGGCATTTTGGAGTTTTGCGTTATTTTGGCATGAAAAATAGAGTTCTTGGTTGGAGATGTCCTAATTTTAGCATATTGAGGTGGTGGTTAATGGAGCCTTTTTTCTTATTGTCAGCTTTTTTTCATATTAAAATATACCAATCAGTCATATTGATGACTGTTCAGGACTTGAACTTACTCATTTATCACAGACAATGACAATTTGGACTGTGCCATGCAAGCTTGCTACAGAAAAAAATAAATAAATAAATAAATTAGGCAACACTTAAAATTAGCTAGAACAGCTGAAAGTCCGCATAATTGATGTTCTCTACAAACCTTTTTCACGGCGATTTTGTGACCATTGGGGAAAATGGTTGAAGCCTATGAATTAGCGGCTGTTTAAACCGCCACTATAGCTCTAGATTAGTAATGATTTAAACCGTCGCTAAAGTGACAGTGAAAGAGCTCATTTCAATTTAATAGAGGGTGCAAAATACCTACAATCAACCTTAATATAGTCTAAGATATAGACATGGAAAGTATTTATAATCAATTCTTAACATCTTCTAACCTAATTCCAACCACAATTTTCAATAATACACGAGGAAAAAATAAATAAATCAGTGAGAAGAATATGAAGTTCTAAGTTCACACTAGCAGAAAGCTTAACGTTCAATCTACTCCCAGCCACTTTAATTAACGTCACAAATTCGCCACATCGCAGACTCTATATACAAACCAGCTCAAACAATGGGCAAATTATTAC